TATATATATATATATATACACTAGTACTATTATAATATTATAGTACTTCATCGAGTCAAGAATAATCTTCAACAGAATGCAAAAGGCACTGGACAGTTGTTTCGTCCTATTTGTTAATCACACTAACCCTGTTCTTTACAACTGGAACAATAAGTCTGTAGTTATTTTCAACTTGATTTTGCTCAAAGAAAGGTATACTTACAATCAGAAAGAAACAGTTGAATTTTCTGTGGCGCATAATGAGTGTTATGGAGTGATTTCACACTGGAGGCTTGTATTTGTACTAAGTCGGCCCTAAAATAGGTTCGACGTACAAAACGTTAGGAACTTGATATAATAGGTAATGACGCAGAGAAATCTAGTTGTGGTCGCTGATACTTTAGTATCCGACTAACGGTCGTCCGGCATCGAATGACTAACCCACTGAGCGACTGACTTGTTACTCTTACTACTCCTACTTATTATAGGTGGGAGAGTCTATTAACTATAGAATAGGTGTGTGCCCACTATAACAATGAGGGAAAATGTATCTGAGAAAATCTAACAATCACAGGCCGTAAGGAAGGAAAGAGGAGCAATGTGGCCTCGGTGACGAAGAAGAAACAGACTAGACTCGATATAACGCCGCTACTCACAAATTCCGTGGTGATACTCATCCAAGTCTTCAAACCACGTTGGGTTTGAATACTTTGATGAGCAACAAGTGTAACGTCTACCTTCCCCATATCGCTCGATCACAGAGCATTAACTAGGTCAATCAATGATATACAAGTGATAGAATTTCGGGGGATGAGAATAGTCATTGTAATAATTCATCAAGTCTAGAAAAACCCTCAACAAAATGCAGAAAGCACTGGGCAGCCAATTCGTCCCGTTTGTGACCCATCAGCAGTATGTATGCCTGTATGTATGTTATTCCTCACCGCTAGAATGACTAGAAGTTTCATGCACAACGCAATCTTCAAGTGCTGGGTTTAAACTCACCTACCAGTATAAGACTAAGGAATTCAAATCACTCTTTGAGGTATCTCAGTCTGCGTATGTCGGCTATTGGCCAGCATTTACTTGACAACCCAGACTGTGCTAATAAATATGTGAATAACTATTGCACAGTTTTGCACAGAGCCTGGTTTACTCACCATTTACGTTTCCTGGAAGTAGTTCATATTAAGTTACATCAACCGTCTCTATGAAAACAGAATGAGCAATTCATCGCGCCCTCAATCTTTTAGGAGGCCTGTCAGTGATATTTTTCCCATTTTATACTCGCTTGGAACTATATATTTTATTCGTAAATTATTTTACAAATAAATTTATTTTAATCGTTCTTCCAAAATTTCATTCCCCGGCTCTCCATTATATTTTTCTTCCCTTTTTTTCATTGTGTGAATTGTTTATTTTTTTGTTCTCATCAAAAGTCTCGCCAACGTTTTACTTCCGACGAAATGTTTGCTGAAAGGATTCCTTAAGGAAAATACATTAAAATGCCTTTGTGTATTTTTAAAACTGCATTTTAAAACTCTTTGGTATCAAGTCGTTGTTCATATATATATATATATATATATATATATATATATATGTGTGTGTGTATTATGAAGTCCAAGAATTATTTTAATATGTTTTCTGTTTTTATAGATACAAATGTTTAAGTAAATACTCTGTTTATAATAAACAGTATTAACTACATTTACCGACTTGAATGTCCGAGAAATTTCATAGAAAATATATGCCCTTCGACAAGAATCGAACCTGTATCATGCATGGAACCGTCATATAACCTGATGTGCTATACCATTTAGCTACAGAGGAAGTGTTTGGTTAGCAAAGTCAAATGACTGCTTTTAAGCAACAAATTTCCCACGATTTTTCTCGAACGATCATATCTGCTCGAAGTGTATCTTAACGTAAACAAATGACATCATATATTATGAAATGGACTAAGTCCGACAATAATTTTGATACATTTTCCATTTAAACGTTATTTTTATAGATACAAATATTTAAGTAAATTCTCTGTTTATAATAAACAGTATTAACTACATGTACCGGCTTAAACGTCCCTGAAATATCCTAGAAAATATGTCTCCTTTTACAGGAATCGAATCTGCATGCTACACGGAACCCTCATATCGCCTGATGTGCTATACCATTTAGTTACAGAGGAGGCGTTTGGTTAGCAAAGTCAAATTACTGTTTTTAAACAACAAATTTCCCATAATTACGTTAAGATCAAGATACGCCTCGAGCAGATATGATCGTTCGAGAAAAATCATGGGAAATTTGTTGTTTAAAAACAGCAATTTGACTTTGCTAACCAGTCGCTACAGGCTATATTATTTTGTGATATTAAGATGTGACTTATTAATAGATGCTGATCACACGTACAGATGGATAAAGTTTCATCACCGGCCCATTGTCAAATTATTAAGCTGCATAGAATTTATATGAGACTTCTTTTCTGTCTTACAATCGGAGATACTCCTCTCTATCATTTAACTTACTTGTTTTCTATATATATATAGATCTTCTTCTACTTCTTCTGCTTCTTCTTCTTTGTTAAATCCCTTCAGGGTGTGGGCGATCAGGGTTCTCCACAACTTCCTTACTTTTATTGTTCTAAGTAATTCCTATCTCTTTTTTTTCACCTTGTCCGATTATCCATTCACAGAAAATCGTTAAGTAGTTTATGCGCTGATTCACCCTGCTCCTGTTTCTTTCCGTACGTCCTGTAAATGTTACATTTTCCCAGACACATTTTCCCTCATTATGCGCCACAGAAAATTGAACTGTCTCTTTCTGATTGTAAGTATACCTTTCTTTGTGCAAAATCAAGTTGAAAATAACTCGCAGGTAGGAAAAATAATTTCATGCTTTTTTGACAATACCATTTTTTATTTTATTTTATTATGTTTTTTTTTATGTTCTGCTTATGCTTTCCGATTCTTTTGTAATTAACTAAATTCCTATTAAGATTCGAATTTTTCATACATATCACTGAGAAATGTCACTAAATTTAATAACTTTCTTAAACGATAAAACCAAAGTACCAATTCAATTTTAAACAAATATATTTTAATAATAAAGCCAGTCGTGTTAAAAAAAAAAACAGAAAAAAGAATAACAAAAAAGAAGGTTAATAAAAAAAAGAAATTTATATTACCGTGAAGTGGTAATACCAAAATATAAACAGATCAACAAAGCAGTTTAACTGGTTTATCGATCCTCTCTCATCGAAGCTCAATCGGAGACAAGAAATGTGCACAGCGGCTATTAAAGTAAATACCAATAAGTGGATGTTACACAGGAGGCGGCAGAAATACCTCCCACATAAACCTCATAGAAACACTGTCCACATAATGGTACGACATTTGCTACAGTAGGTACCACCACTATTTCACTATAAATGTCGATACTTAAGATTTAAAATGAGTTTAAAAATCTCTCAATAATAATAATAATAATAATAATAATATATATATATATATATATATATATATATATATATATATATGTATGTATGTATGTAAATAAAAAAGAAAGAACAGTAAGATATATAATCCGGTGTTCTTATAGATATTTTTATTTTTACAAAATAGTGCTCAATGTAAATTTACAGAGCATTAATATTATAAATTAATTGATTTAAAATATGTTTTTTTCGCTCCACAGTTCTAACCATGTTTCAAAAATGCATTTTTGAAACATGGTTAGAACTGTGTAGCGAAACAAACATATTTTAAATCAATTACTTTATAATATATATCTCTCTCTCTATATATATATATTTGTGAAAACTTATTTGAGAAATATTAGCTGATTTAAAGCTTAATTAAGCTGATTTGAAAAAAAAATTACTTACTTTAAGTTTAAAATAAAAGAGAAATGGTATTTTAAAACAAACAGTAGCGCGATTAAGCATTTATCGACTCATCGTAAACAATTTGACAAAGTGTTGACAGAGTCGTTGTTGTTGCGCGACTTTATCTGTTAAAACATAATTTAAGAAAATGACGGGTGAGCACCTTTTTATATAATTTTTAAGTACACAGTAATCTTAAAAACGTTGGAAAATGTTCTCCGTAATCTAATTTTAAGAACGCTGAGTTTAAATTAACTATAGTCATCGCTTTTATTTTCTGATTATGCCGTGTAAGGCCGACCATACTTTCAAACAAGGGAACGTTACGTATACATAAAAAATTGGGGATCAACGACTTTTAATGAGCTTTTCAATTTTGGATCCATAGACGTAGTTTTCATTTAATAAAAATATCACCTAACCGCATCGAAGCAATGCAGAATTTTAAACGATTTAAATTATTTAATTAAAATTTTTAAAGATTGAAAACAATTCATCGAAAAAAAATTTTTAGACAATAATGTCCTTAATAAATCTCATTTAAAAAAGCAATTAAAAGTTTTTCTAATGAAATAATCTCATAGTTTCAGTGCATTTTTTATTTTACGATTCAGAGCAAATTTTCGGTGACCTGGGGTCTTGTTTAAAAACATTGATGATTTAAATTCCACTTGAACAGCCTCTTCCCGCGGACCACTTCCCTGTGGAACCGATTCCCAACAGGATGTTTCCCCGATCACTACAACCATAAACTATTCAAGGCTAGGTTTAATCGTTATCTCCCTCACCTATTCACACAAATAGCCTCCTAACATAAACCTCTACCTTGAGTGGCTCCCGGTAAAATGCAATGTTGGTCGTTATCTTTTATTATTCTCTATCCTTAATAGTGCTTTTTTTTTCTTTTCTCATATTCTCTAACACTCAGTAACCCCTTGCGTCTTAGTGGCGTTATTGCCTTGCTTGGGGTGAAATAAATAAAAAGAATGTAAAAGCAAAGTTATATAAACTTTTAAAATAATTTAGACTATTGTTTCAGAAGAATTTCGCCTTTATAAATGCAAAATGCTTGAAATGAAGAGAAAACTAACATTCCTTATTTTCTGTTGATATTGATGTCTTTTGCTTTTGTTTTCTTCAGCAACACATCGAGGTTGGATATCGTCGTATAGGTTACTACTGCCTGAAAGAATGGTCGAAACAATTCTATTCCAAATTTTATGAGCTGTACATGCTGATTCTCATGTTGGTCATACCATCTGTTATCATGACGGTGGCATATCTTGGAATTTGTCAGGAAATGTGGAACGTTACGTACCGTCGAGCTGATATGAGAAGTGGAAGGTTCGTTTTCTTTATCGATATTTTCACGGAGAAAAAGCTACCTTTTGAGGTAATATTGTTTCTCTTTTGTGTCGTATTAAAAATTTTAAAAAACTAAGTTGTTTACGCTTTGCCGAAAACAAAAAGCAAAGCTACCTTTAAAATTTGATTCATCGAAATTTAATTAGCATTCAACATGGAATTACATTCTGACCATTTTTGGTCTTCTAAGGAAACAAATAGCCTCGGCATCCCTAATATAAGGATACAATAAAACTAAACTGGTTAAGTAAATACGTACAGATACGTGCATAAACCCAACTGACGTCTACCTTCGAATTCTAGTATACGGCCGTGTTTACTTTGTTGAGTTCATTATAAAGCAGATTGGTGTCTACCTTTATGCATTCTAGTGTAAACCTGTTCTGTGTCTACTTATATTTTTACACTAGCATAAGTTGTGCCACTGTGTAACATTTTTATAGTTACAGTGTAAACACGAGGGTACCTCGGCGTAGTGTAATGATTAGGCAGCTTGTCTCTCTAAAACGGTAATGAAGGAATAGTGAGTTCGATCCTTACTAGCTGCTCTATACATTTGGCCTCGTGCCACATCTAAGCTGTGTTGAGAAAATCATTTAAGGCACCTCGAGGCGATGTAATAGTTAGCAAGCTGGTTTCGCAAGAACAATTATGACTGAGTAGTGAGTTCGATCCTCACTGGGTGCCCCCTACTTCCGGCCTTGTGCCGCATCTAAGCTACGCTTTATTCTGGCATAAACCGTGCCTATATTTAACTATTTTGATGGTCTACAGTGTAAACCGAGCCAATGTCTACCTTTTCTTTACTCAAGCATAAACCGTGTCTGTATTTAAATATTTGATGTTCTATAGTGTAAAGCGATCATATGTCTACCTTTTTATACTCAAGCATAGACCGTACCTATATTTAACTATTTTGATGGTCTAGAGTGTAAACAAGACACATGTCTACCTTTTTTACTCTAGCATAAACCGTGCCTATATTTAACATTATTGTTGGTCTCCAGTGCAAAACGAACCTATGTCTATCTTTTTTTTTTTACTCAAGCATAAACCGTTCCTGTAAACCGGATCTGTGCCTATATCTCACTTTTTTTCGCTCTAGTATAAACTGCGTCTATGTCTACCTTTTCGACTCGCGTGTTAACCGGACATCATCCTATCTCTATCTATAAACAACCCGACATGGTTTGAGATGTTAATATATTAACCAACCTAACCTTATCAGAAAACATATCGATAAATTTACTTTTGCACAATCTGTTGTTTGCTGCCTATAAATATATTTTCTTGCTGAGTCCCAAGATTTGCAAATAATGATTAAAAAATCATGACAATTCAAGAAACATTTGTATATAATTCCCATGATGAAACCTATTCGGTAACATTCGTGTCATTTATTCGTGAATAAATGAGAATGTCTCTTATTCAAATATAAGTTATTGAGCGAAATAGTAGAACAAATGTCCCTTTTAGAAAAATCGAAGTTGACTGAGTCTAAGTAAATAAATGTCTGATAACAGATCAAAAACATTGCATCAGTGAATCAAGATGATACAAAGAATGAATTAGGAAATAATTTTAAAAAGAAAAGATTTTATTTCTCGTTCTCTGCTTTCGTTTTTATGTGAAATGGTAAGTTGCAAAAAAGCTGAATGGAAATCTACAAAACAGTCGACGGCAAAAAAAAAAAAAAAAAATTGAAAATCTAATATAAACAAAAGGAAAAAATCTTAAAAAAAAAAAAGAAACATCTTGAATAAAATATGGTCCGAAAATTCATTGTTGAAATATTTGCAAAGGAAATAGAATAAATTACATGTGTACAAACACACGCATGGACACACATCTATCTATCTATCTATCTATCTATCTATCAATATATATATATATATATATTGGGGGAATTGTATGACAAGGTGGAAAAAAATTTACATGTCACACGTTGTGTCTCAGAACTTCATCGGACTAAATTTATTATGCTGGTATGACTGCACATGCGCACAAACATGGTGTGCTGGGCATTTTGGAATTTTTCTTTTTTCTTATCTAGCCGAATTCATTTCGATTTTTTTCTTTTTCTTTCCATGTGTGTGTGTGTGTGGTTTGAACAATAAAAATATTAAAACTTTAAAATTTTCAGACACACGGGGTTGTATATTAATATTTTTTTGTTTTATTATTTCAATTATGTTCCTTCACTAGTATATATATATATATATATATATATATATATATATATATATATACATACGAGGTCTGTCTGAAAAGTAACAGGACTGGTGTCACAAACAATTTATGGTTTCCCCTTCAAAGGAATCCCTTAATTCACTTTTCCAGTTTTCTCTCCCACGCTTCTATGCGGTGCTGGAAGGATTCTTCTTGAATGCCCCTCAGTTTCTCGTTACAGCACTCTTGATGTCCTCCACGCCATTAAAACGATTCTCTCCCTGAAACCTCGGGAAAAGAAAAAGTCACACGGAGGAAGATCAGATGAATAGGGCGGTTGTTCCTGTTCGGCGAATTTCTTCACGGCCAGGAACTGCCGGACGCTCATGGCTTTGTGATCAGGTGCAATGTCATTGTAAACCAGCCACGATTTGTCCTGTCACAATAGTATGTGTTTTAAAAAATCCAATGGCTGCAGAAAGCTAAGATTACATTTAGATAATACGAAGATATCATGCTAGATCATAACACAATACGCTTATCCCTCTTTCGTTCATATCTCACACAGAACATCCAGTCCCGTTACATTTCAGACATTGCTCGTATACATACATACATACATACATACATACACACATATATATATATATATATATATATATATATATATATATATATATATATATATACTGTCATCCACAGACAGACTGTTTTGATGTATCACAGCTGTCATATGCCCCAGTCGACGAACGGGTTATAGGCTGACCATATGCAGACTAGGAGATATATACACTCTCACACCTGAGAGTGGACAATTGGTAAACAAAAAAAGTATTTTAAGACTACTGTTCCATTGGGATAATCGAACAGTAATCTTTCCCAGGTCCGCTTCGTTTTCAACACAAATACTGATCCACAATACAAGGAAGAACATAAGGCTTAGCGATTTGATACAATAATTTTAATATATACAAATATACATATATCAAAATATAAAAGAACAGATAAGTATGAGTTAAACTATCCGACGACCAGATCTCGAACTTATTTGGGATATCAAATTCGCCGAACACCAAATGGATTCAACAGAACCCGAACATATAAAGTACAAGTATGAATTACTATGAATTGAATGCAGAAGCCAACGCACATACATAAAAGAGATGGCATAGTAATTATAATTATTGTTTTACATGTGGAAAGGTGTTTGCGAAAAAAATCATAATATTCATGTGTGTGTGTGTGTATATCTTTTATACTTACGGGTCCAAAATGTGATTACTTATCTTTTGTATTCAGTTCTCTCTTTTTTTTTTCTATATATATATATATATATATATCAATGTCCTTTCTTTTCTTTTCTCGGCACAAACACCATTTCATACACTGCCAGTCTGTAATGGAGGTATACACTTTCTTCCTCTCTTGTTTCGTCTTTTTCTTTCCTTCCTTTTCTTCTGTAGAGGGCTCGGTTTGCAACAGGGATGTACACTTTCTTCTGAAAACAGCTCGACTAGCAACAGGGAATGTACACTTTCTTCTTCTGAAAACAGCTCGACTTGCAACAGGGATGTACACTTTCTTCTTCTTCTTTTTACAAGTTAGCTTATAACGGAGGTACACGCTCAGGTTGAATCATCAACATATATCTTTTCTAATACGTCTTCAAATTGGGATTTTCGAACACGTTATTTCCTTATATTCCGTGTCCGGAGTTGCCTGGATAGAACTGGATAAGTCATCACTATCGAATGCATCTTATCTTTCCGTTCGTGAACTACTAGCGTCTCGGCTTCTGTCTTGCCTTTTCAAAGTCCAGATAACAACTGATCCTCGAGTGAATCTTTGACTGTCACGTGTCTTAGTTTTTGGCGCGAACTCTTACTTACTTCATCCCCTGTCTAGCTTCTGTCTAGACATTTTCCGTTACGGGTAATTGGGTCAGTCGACCTTTCGACCTGCCTTCCCAAAATGTCATAAGACTTCACGTAATCTTTATTTTGTTGCTAGGCGGAAATTAACCTTCATATGCGCGTCTAGGCTATCTGCTTTTAATGTCCGTCACACAGCTCATCAGTGTGGCTAGACGTCCGGTTGCCTCTAGCTAGGATATATATATATATATACATATATATAATGGCTGACTAATAATCGTTTCCCAGCCCACCCCTCTGCCAGGTTGGCTAGTCACACTCTATTACAGACGCCTTCTCGGTTGATCTCACTTCTCACTGCATCTATGCTGAGTGGACCTTCGTTACAGTTTCTGGGAGAACACATAATCAAAGCGAGTACGACTAAAACCTTAGTAATTTACGTGCATCGATAGCTTTTGAATAGTGCTGTAAGCTTCAATGTGCGGGTGGTGTAATGGATAACGGCCCGAGAGAACCGAGTTCCGATTTCAGTCGGCTTCTTTATTTTCACTTACACGCAAATACTCTTGGGGACGGCATGAATCCACCTTTTCTTCCTCCATCTATGGATTAAATAGTAGGTCTTTTTTTTCGTAGAATATTTTGAAAATAATAATGACTTATATCAATAAATCATTATTATTTCCAAAAATTTCTTACAGTATAAAAATATTTTCTGACTTTAAAATAACCAGGAAGGGGTTGATAAACCGTAAAAAAATCAATCTTGAATTTTTATTATATATTCATGGTTTTCATTCCAATTCCCGTTCATAGTTTCTGTTTTGGAAAGCTTTAAGTCCAAGAATACCTCACTAAACTGAATATCAAATAAACATTTCGAAATTAGAAATAAAATATAATTTCACTCAAATCTTCACTTCAATTTAATTC